ACAGTGACTGACAATCCTTAATTGTATTAAAATATTTTAACTGACATCAAGGTCTCTTAAACCACACTTCTTTTCTTTCAGCCTTTCTCCTCTGAAGTACATTGTGTTAAGATTAAAAGAAAAATCTGCCTGAGTGATGAAAAGAGTTTAAGACTACTTTCATATTTTACTTTTACCATAGAGAAATTGTGCCTCTCTTTCCGAGCTCTCGGGGGGGGGGGGGTTTATTTCACAAAGTTTAACGTAACAAATGCTTGGATAACTTAGAAAAAGTTTGTACAAGAATGCTGACTATGGCTTTAGTTTGCTTGCCAAATCCAATGCCACCATTGCTCTCTTGCTTACTGAAGACATATTTGCAAGTTTTATAAAACATGTATTTCACTCTTCCAAAACCAAGATGATCTAGATCACAGGAACAGACAACTATTTATTGCCAGTGACTATATGACACAAATAAACCTGAACTGGTACTAAAATCAGAGGCTCAGCAGCTCATTAATCTTTCCCAGATCTGGGAAGTGAATTGGATGCAAAGGCAGTTTCGAGCTGGAGCCCAGTGATCAAATAACAGGCACAGCTATATAATTAATAAGCTGTGTGACTCTGGGGAATTCACTAATACTCTCCATGCCTCAGCGCATGACATTTTATTTCTTAGGATTAATATGTTGTCTAGTCTCTAAAACTATCACAGCAAGTTATGAAATAATTTTATATAAAATGGCAAACTCAACATTTAAAATGGCAGAAAAATAAATAGTAAAACTAATGATACATGTTATTTACCAGGCTTCAACAGAGGTAATCATTTATAAAGCAGTTGTAAAATGCCTCCCTTCTATTATCTCCAAGATGAAATTAAAGGGGAACACAGATTGGAAAATTTTTCAAAAAGGATAAAGTACTATAGGATGCAGTTAAATTAGATCTTAATGTAGGTCTTTTCTCATTCTACAGAAAATGAAACACAAAAAATGAAAAGCTTTGTTCACCTTAGTCCTTGTCATTATCTTTACAGTGTTAAATTCTTAAGTCATTAACACTTGTAGGTTAAAATTGTTGGTGTGTACTCTTTGCAATGTAATTTATGAAGCTCTAAAATTCACTATATCCTCTATTTCTCCATTATCTAACTTGTAAAGACTCTTAGTTGCTCAGTTTAAATGATGTTCCTCTGTCTCACTAATCACTTAATACTGAATCATTTCTTTAGAGCTGCTCACAGTGGGTGTGTAATACATTTTTCAACTTATTTCCCCCATCGCTACTCACTCTAAATGGAAGCACACTGTGAAGAGTTGGTTGGTAGATCATACTTGCAGTAGACAGAAGCATGTCTCTCCCCAAAGATGTCTGCTTTCAAAGCCTTAGAAACCTGTACACATTGCCTCCTACTGTAAAACACTGTGGAAAAGAATCTTCAGATAGGGAGATTATGAGGAATCAGCAAGCGGGGCTCAATTTAATCACGAAGGCCTTTCTAAGAGGGAAGCTGATTCAAAGCAAGATGAGATGGCAGCAGAGGAACAGAAGACAGAGAAGGGGCAGGAGGGAAGGGTTGATTTCAAGATTCTTCACTGCTAGCCTTGAAAAGCAAGGAAGAGGCCATGAGCCAAGAAACTGCAAGTGCCTTCTAGGAGCTGGAAAATGCACGAACACAGATTCTCAGGTAGAATTTCAAGAGAGAGCGCTAACCTACTGACACCTTGATTTTAAATCCTGAGACTTCTGATCTCCAGGAAGTAAGAGAATAAACATTTATCATGTAAAACACCATTAAATTTGGGCTAATCTGTTAAAGTAACAATAGGAAACTAATACAACAGTGATCAAAGACATATCCTTGAAAGTCAAACCACTTTATTTTGAATGCAAAACCACTGAAAGTTTCTGAGCATTGTTTTTATCATCTGTAAAATCTGTCGGGAGCAGTATTTACCTTTCCAGATATGCCTAGACGCAAGTGAGATAATATGCCTAAGCCCAGCACAGTTGTGGCATAGTAAATGTGAAAGGAACACAGCTACATTTTCATGGAACTCTTCCCAAATATTCCATACAGCTCCCTCTCTTCTATCACCATGACAGTGAAAGGGAAGGAAAATGGAAACTGTAGCCACAGGTCCGCAGAGTTAGGACTGCATGGAGTCATAGAAAGTGATTTTGAAAGTAGGTAAGTGATTTTGGAGTCCAGATTATTCATATATATCTGTTTAACAGACACAGCAAGTGGTTCATCTTCTGTGAAACTTAATCTCTTAATTGGTGACTTACATAAACTGAATTGTTTTCCAGAGATTTGTTACCAGGATTCATTCAAAATGTATGATGTGATTTTGAGATCAAACTGGTGATAGAAAACTTGGATTTTATTACTTCCCTTCTCTACTTGGATGTAATGATAGGTACACCCTAAGGAATGTAACAGAGATAAAGTACATTTATGTAGTGAAGGTACAAAAATCCAGAGAAATTAAGTCAATGCTAAATTCGCACCCAGAAATTATCTCTGTAAGCCTAATGATCCATTTTCTCAACAACATTCAACTAGAATATTACTCTATCACTCAAAAACAAAAAGGTCAAGTGGGCCCGGAATTTAGCTCAGTGGTGCTGCTGCCTGTCTCACAAACACAATGTCCTGAGTTTGAGCCCCGCTAGCAAAAAAAAAAAAAAAAAGAAATGGATTCATTCAAAATGTATGATGTGATTTTGAGATCAAACTGGTGATAGAAAACTTGGATTTTATTACTTCCCTTCTCTACTTGGATGTAATGATAGGTACACCCTAAGGAATGTAACAGAGATAAAGTACATTTATGTAGTGAAGGTACAAAAATCCAGAGAAATTAAGTCAATGCTAAATTCGCACCCAGAAATTATCTCTGTAAGCCTAATGATCCATTTTCTCAACAACATTCAACTAGAATATTACTCTATCACTCAAAAACAAAAAGGTCAAGTGGGCCCGGAATTTAGCTCAGTGGTGCTGCTGCCTGTCTCACAAACACAATGTCCTGAGTTTGAGCCCCGCTAGCAAAAAAAAAAAAAAAAAGTAAAGTAAAAAGTGACTTTGAATGCGTAGACTTTAAACTCTGCTAAAGAGCAGTTTTAGATGCTGAAATGTCATGAATAATTATGTGATATGATTTTAACAGATAATTTTCAAGTATATCTGCTTTACATGAAACTTACTGAATATCTGCCTTAAGAGCATGTGGCTGTTTAAAATAACAAATTAAATGGTAAGCAAAGGATTAATTTATGGAGGTAATTTTTGTTTTCTAATTATGAAAGCCAATACTAATTGTTAAATATACATTAGCTACAAATTGTCTGCCCTAAGTTCTCTTGCCCCAACGTTTGTCTCAAACTGACAACCTCAAAAGTTAATCACAAGCATAGATCTGGCAGGCATCCCAGCACAGAAAAAAGGATGTATGGATTAAAACTACTTTGCATTCTAGTCACAAACAGCATACTAGCAACATAACAAGCAACAATTTTACATCAGAAAGAATCTATTGTTCTCTCAGTTGCATAAATGCTTCTGATTAAGTTAGATTACACCTTGGCCACTGTCACAAACTTCATTTGCAAAGTGAACCAATTTAGATTTAGGGCAATGCAGCAAATCAAATAGAAAAAATATGTAAATATTTGTATAAATGCCAGTCTTTGCTAATAAAGACCTTTTATCTTTCTTAAATCAGATATTGTTTCTGTTTATGAATTACATCATCTTGATATATGAACTAAATCACCTCAGTGATTTCCCTCATTTGTAAGCCCATCTTTAAAGATTGTAAAAATTCAGCTATGTATTTATTCAAATATTCTCAAAAATTCTTTTTTCCAAACTTAATTTTCATATTAAAAGTAATTTTAAACACTCACACTTAGCATGGGTGATATAATTATGATGGCAGCTGACATAATTTTCCAAATTTTAATGTTAGATCTTTCCACCCGCACACTCGTTTTCTTTCCTTATACACTGATAGAATATTAAGTACAATCAGGTAGATGCACATGAAAGCATTCATTTTTATGTTATAATATTAGCATGTCCTAGTTAAATCATATGTTTATTTTGGGTTGCAAAAAAGAGAAGACTGCGGGCACTTTTTGTTCAGTTTCACATTTTTGCATTTTATAATTCCGCATATTGCATTACACTGTCTCATTTTAATTCAGCTAAGGTAGTCTATGCTGCAATTGTCTGTCCCTGATTATATGCAGGCTATACACCAAAGTTTTCTGGCAACAATGATGAGATGCTGAAAAGATTAAATGCAATGACAACAACAAAGTGACCTCCAATATGACCAAAAATCATTAAGATCGAAGGTCTGGTTGTGAATTGAGAATCATTGTGTTTGGTTTTCTTTCAAAAGAGCTGGTCAAGCCCTCATTAAAGACTCTTCTAAGTAAATATGTTTCACACAACATAAATTTTCGAATTGGATTATGATTTTAATACTATTTGTTCAATAACAAGATGATTGCAATTAGGAGACATGTATCATTTCTAATAAAAACCAAAACAACAAATTTAATACATAAAAAAGTGCCAAAATTTCAAAGCAATCAACAAGCCATTGAGCAAGAGATATTTTAGCAAAGACCATGTTAATTATTAAGGTTTAAGAAATAAATATAATTCAGAAAAAGGATATGGTAAGGAAATTTTGCATTATATAATCAGAACTCACTTTTGTGTATAAAATACTCTGAAGTAACTGGAGAAAAAATGTATGCAACAGTCATGGTCTGGTTGATCAATAAGTATCTCAGAACTGGCTCTACAAGGTTGTGGGAGAACCATCCTCACTTGAGGGAGCAATTCAGTCCCCATCATGAGAGGCTGGCTCCTGTTCACGCCAGTCTTGGTTTTGTCACAGAATAACTGCTTTTGATTGAAGGATGACCTCATAATGAAGTGCTCTATGAGAAGCTCTGCTTGGAATCTGATGAAACTGTAGGTTTAGGACAATGACAACACTACTAGGCATTTCAAGGTGTCTGGAACTGAACACTGTAAACCCTGGCAACTGGATGTCCCTGCACATCTTAAAAGTTACTTTATTCTTTATCTTTGTGTCTTCAGTCTTGAAGGGTATGGGATAAGCTAGGTGAATTTAAGTCTATTAAACCTGCATTAGTAATTTTTAGACAGGCACTTCTTAAATGATTATCATGCCTATGTGCACAGCAAAGCAATCATATGACCCAAGGTTTTAATATAATAAAGGTATAATATACAGGCAAGATGCAAGGCTTTACCCTGATTATAGTTACTCCAAGCAACTGCAGGTCTAATCCCTAGGACCCTGTTACAATAAAAATTGCTTTAAGTTTTTTTTTTTTTACTTAAGTCAAAAAGTGGATTGAGGACCTAACAATGTTACCAGCTAGCAGTGAATACTTGAGTAAGTCACTTATACCTTAAATAATCTTTTAAATTTGTATTGTGAAATAAAGATAGTGTTTGCAACTTCTTGTTTTATAAATAAGCTTTTCAATTTGCTCTGCCTTTTCTAGAGTTTTCTTGGCAAACACAAAATCTTCTTTGCTCTAGGAGAGAACTCCATGATCAAAAGTTAGACATCTGCCCATAGCAATAGTGGTGACTAAAAGGAACTGACAGTCTGTATGTGGCAAAAAAAAACTGGTTAATTTTCTAGGTTGTGGGTTTTTTTTTTTCTGAGTTAGATACATTTTTACTGTGTTGTTTCAATTGAACTCTTATCCCTTTGTGTATATCTATGTAATCAAACTTCACTCACAGGAGGGTATCAAATTCTGTTACTTATATTGAAATACTACATATTCTTGAATTATTGCTTTAGGAATAAGTGCATTATTACTGATGCTGGGTGGTAAACCTCATGAGAAAATGATCCAGTTTTTAAATTTTTTTATATCACCCACAGAGCTCAACAGCTATACAAAGCAAGAGTTTGACAAATAGGAATGAATGAAACAAAAATCAAAATCTTCAGACACATTGATGATTTTTTAAAAATTATCATTTACATTATAATTTAACCTTGCATTAATTGAAAAAACTACCATCGATGAAATATTTAAAATATATAAACCATACAATAAACAACAAAAAAGCTATGTCTTCATGACACAGATATATAGAGAGACAGAGGTATAAAGATATGTACATGTATAATACACCATGGGTAACCTGCATCAAAAATAAATATAATCTGTTATGCTGTAGGCACTATCCAAGAATAGTTACATGAACAGATAAGATACGATAATTTAATACTTTTTCTAAAATCAATATAGAAATCTTCTATTAAGCTGCTTAACTTGAAGGATCACAGAATAAATTATTTTTATATTTTTACAGATAAATAGCATAGTTTCCTAACTTGATAATAAATACTATATAGCACATGTGTTTCCCAGAAAATTCAAAATTAATTATAGTGGCTTTTTTCTTTGTTTGTTTTACAGTAGTGAGATTTAAAGCCTTCACATTCAGCTACATTCCCAATCTTCCTATCTCATTCATTTGTTTGTTTGTTTGTTTTAAGACAAGCCCTACTAAGAGTCACTCATTTGCCTAGACTGGACTTGAATATGCAATCCTCCTGCCTCAGCTTTCCAAAGTGCTGGAATTACAGGTGTGTGCCACCCCATAGGGCTCCAGCTAACTTTTTAAAAAATTAATTTTATTGGGACATTTAAGGTACGCAATATAATGACATTCATTGTTAGAAATTTGTACGTTTACATAATTAATTTTGGTTCTTATTTTTCCCATTCCCCTGCCTTCCCTTCAATCCCCCCTTCCACCCTATCTACAAATACTTTAGTTCCTTTTTTTTGAATACCCTCATATTAATTCTATTCCCTTCCTTGCTTGTAACTTTTAATGGAGTAACCTGACTAGTTTTATGCCACTGTCTTTCCTTTTACCATGTTTGCACTTAGGTTTTAAAGAGAGCTGTTGAAAGTATTTCACAGCTTTACTACACATAACGTTTTACACTACACTTGCAGATTATAAATCTTAAGTTGTTTTAAAGTAAATTGCACTGTCGTACATTATATGTAAAATCAAACACATTTTTAAGGTGGTTGACTTCTTTTACTGTTTTATGATGCCTTTGTTATGGTTATTGTGGTTACTTATGACTATATATGTAGGTATAGAAAAGCCACTTTTGACATGCTGACGTTTTCACACTTAGAAAAAGCATTTTATGTCAAATTAAAATAACAAAAATTGATTACTCAAAATTATGAACATCCTATAATGATGCAAATATATAATTTAAAATTCTGTTAAATATCTTGCAATTGTTTCAAGAAATGTTGAGTATTTTATAGTGTATTCTATACACACAGAGAATAATTAGATATAGTTTGGGAATAAGTTAGGCAATAGAATAATTTTAGCAAAAAACATTCAAAAATTATGTTTGTCTACATAGTTTCTTTTGAAAAACATGCCATATTTCACATAACTAAAAGAGGTTCTGCATAATATTTAGAGCCAGACCAACATAGAGCCAAACCAGGTATATTGGGCATGATATAATGTGGAATTCTGAAAATTACATTTATTTGCTGTTTTAATAATTTATATGAAAGATTATTAAAGAGAGTTACTATTTTATTTAAATCAAATTCTCTTTGTTCAAGTTTCAAATTTCTGTTTTAAATATACGTAGCAATACAGGACTATGATTCGCTTGTTTTTAAGCAACTATTTACTAACTGTCAACAATATGCATTTAACATCAAACTTTTGTGTATAAGCTTACAATCTAATTAAGATAAAATTAATGAATTTAATCTAAGAAATGCAAGACTGTATAAAATTAATGTCAGTGTAAGCATTACTAATCCAATTTTTTAGTGGTTTATAAGAGACAGAAATATACACCATTAAGAAAAGTTTCAAATCTACAAACCTTAAGCTTGGTTATGAAACAAAAACTAAGAGGAAAGTGGACAGAATTTAACAGTGCTGTTAATGAAGTGTCTGTAAAGCTCCTTCTGGAGTTATTCTGGAATTTTCCATAAGATTTTACACACATTTTCTATCCTCCTACCTTGCTGAATGTGCTTATCAGATCTAAGAGTCTTCTGGTGGAATATTTTTGGATCTTCTATGTAAAAGTTCTTGTCATCTGTGAATAAGGATAGTTTGACATCTTTTCATATTTATATCCCTTTATTTATTTCTCTTGCCTGATTGTTTGGAATAAAGTTTCAAGTGCTACAGTGAAGAGAAATGGTGACAGTGTTGATAGCAGACACCTTCTTTTTGTTTTTGACTTGCAGGAAAAGCTTTCAGTTTTTTCCCATGTAGTTCAATACTAGGAGTAACTTTGTCACGTTTTATCAGACTGAGATAAGGCCTTCCTATAACTGTTTTATTCAGAGTATTTTTTTTTTGACCACTAATAGATGTTGGATTTTTTCAAAGGCTTTTTCAGCATCTATTGAGATGATCGTGCAATTTTTGTCCTAGCTTCTGTTTATGTGATGTAATACATTTATTGATTTGGATATGTTTAGTCATCTCTATGATGAATCTTACTTAGTCATAAGCAATGAGCTTTCCCATGATTTGTTGCACATTGTTTTCTATTTCTGAAAATTTCTGTATCCGTGTTCATTAAAGAAAATGGCCTATAGGTTTCTATTTCATATTACTTCTTTGTTGGAATCAAGGTAATGCTGGCTTCAAAGAATGAGTCTGGCAGTATTCCTTTTCTTTCAAATTCATCAAAAGAGCTTGGAGATTAGTTGTGTTAGATCTTCCCTGATGTTCTTGTAGAATGTAATCATGAATCCACTGTGTATTGGGCTTTTCTTAGGAAAATAATACCACTCACAATACTTCAAGAAAAATTAAATACTTAGGAATTACCATACCCAGAAAATGAAAAGCCTGTATAATGAAAACTATAGCACTCTGAAAAAAGAGACTGAGGAGGACATCAGAAAATCTAAAGATCTTTCACCTAGATTTCTGGATAGGAAGAATCAATACGTATTGTCAAAATTACCATGTAATCAAAACTGTTATATTAGTTTTATTAATGCCATCCCAAACATTAAAATTTCTCACAGAACTAGAAAAAGCAATCCTGAAATTTATATGGAAGAAAAAGAGACCTAGAATAGCAAAAGCAAACCTGGGCAAGAAGGCCAAACCAGGAGGCATCAAAAACCCAGATTTCAAGTTATATTACAAAGCTACAGTGATAAAATAGCATGGTGCTGACACAAAAATAGTTATGTAGATCAAAATGGAACAGAATTTCAATTTCCAAAGAAATAACATTAAGAACCAATATGGGGGTAATATCAAATTAAAAAGCATCTGAAAGAAACAATAGAGGGACTGAAAATGAACAGACAACCTACAGAATGGAAAAATATTTTTTGTCAGCTATACCTCAGGCAGAGGACTAATATCTAGAATATATAAAAAACTCAAAACAATTAGAATATCCCCCAAAAAATTCCAAATCAAAATATAGGTAACTGAACAATTCTCAGAAGAAGTACAAATGGCTAACATACACAAACCACGTTCAACATCTCTGGCCATTAGAGAAACACAAATTAAAATAACACTGAGATCCTATCTTACTCCAGTAAGAAAGGCTATCATCAAGAAATCAAGTAGTAACAAATGCTAGCACTGGTGTCGGGATAAAAGAAGTCTTCTACATTATTGGTGGGAGTGTAAACTAGTACAACTGCTGTAGACATTCCTCAAAAATCTAACATCAGAAATTCCATTTGACGCAGCTCTTCTCCTCCTAGTTAAGACACCCCTTCTAGAATGAAGGATATCATATTACAATCACACAGGAATATCCATGTGTATAGCAGTACAATTTATAATAGCTAAATACTAGAAACATTTTATATTTCAAGTGATAAGTAAAGAAAAATGTGTTATTAAACATAATAGTGTATGACTCTGTCATAAAGGAAGATAACTTTTCATCACTTTAGAAAATGGATGTATCTGGAGACCATAATGTTAAATGAAATAAATCAAAACACACAAACATAAATATTGCATGGTTTCTTTTCTATGAGCAACCCAAAATATAAATAATTTAAAGAGCAAAGTAAAAGAAAGGTAATAACAAACAGGGGGATCAGCCTTTTTCAAATAGGAAGATCAACAGATGGGGTAGATGGGAAAAAATGAAAAATGGAGGTTAAGGGAAAGTGAAAAGAACAAGGATGCGTTATGTGCAATTTTATAATTAATATTTTTATTTTTCTTAGTACTTCTTTGTAGAACACAGTGATATGATTAATTTCATTGCAGAGAGAATGTGAAATAGGAAGAAAAGGGCTAAACGAATAGGGGAAGTAGGAAGGGAAGGGGAAAAGAAATAAGGGAAAAGAAAAAATATGAGAAAAGGAAAAATTGGAAACAAAGTCTTTGTAAATAGGGGAGGGTGGAGGGAGTAAAGGGAGGGCAAGGGTATGTGGAAAAATGAGAACCAAGACCTGTCACATAAAGGTACAAGATCCCAGTGATGAATGTAACTGTACTGTATATCTAAAATGTACCAATAAACTTAATGCAAAAAATTTAAAAATAAAAATAAGACATTAAAAAGTAATAATCAATTCTTACTTTTTTCTCCCCTTGTTGTTTTCAGTATTTTCCTAACATGCTTTCCCACTGAGTCTCTTACGTACTGCAGTTCTCTCTACATTTGTATCCCATGAAATGAGTCGTTCACTGATTTATGGGGACTTCAGATGTCAAGAGCCAAAAAATTATAATCAGCTCTGATTTTTGGACAGCACTTTTAAATAGAGCATGGAAGAAGGAACAGCCTTTAATGTTCAGCTTTTGAAGTCTAATTCCAAGACTCAAAAGAAAAATTATTTTTTGCACCTCTTCTGTAAGTTTACATTGGCTATACAGATGAATGGTTTCTCTGTTGGCAGACTCTGCAAACATAATACTTATAATAGTTCTGTCATTTCTACCCGTTATCTCCCTTTGCTCAGCTTCTCCCCTAGTTTCATATTTTTGTGGCATTTTCGATGCATATTAAATATTTTCATCATATTTATCTCACCTAGTACCCATCCTTAAACCTCTTCTTTATTCCAGAAGGAAAAGGGTGAAGAGGAAAATGAGGAAGATATAAAAGGATGAAGAGGAATAGGGAAGTGGGGGAGGACATAACCAGTTGCTAGGAAGAATAAAAAATGCAAATGTCCAACTGCTCCATAGCACGTTCTCTTTTCTTTTCTTCTATCGTAATTCTGCCTAGGATCCAGAAAACAAATGGCCAGTTCACCTTTCCATTTTTACCACCACAATCCTTATCACAATCACCACCGATTTGAGATCAAACTGGACCTTTTCATTGTTTTCCACATACAAACTCGAAAGGAGCACCAAGGTACAAAGACCAAGAAGTCTGCTTGGCCGTAGAGCACGTAAGTTGCCTCCCTCCCCTCTTGACCGTTTCTACTGCAATGTGGAAGAAACTTTGAAAAAAGTATCCACATGATTCCTTTATGAGGATTAAGACTCGAGAGAATCAAGTTTTAGTGGACCAGTTAAGAGGATTACCAAAACTCAAAACAGGAAATAAGAGTAGCACAGGCTATGGGTAGAATGTTACTAGCCAAGTCATGAAAGAACTGCTAAGCTTCTGACCATGACCAGGGTCAGGGGAGCTTAGATAGAGCCTCATTCAGTAGTGTGGAAACCACTGTATATCAATCATGCTGTGAAAAATAGACTATTAAAAAAACGCCAGTAATATTGGCTCTGCCAAAGTCCAGATGAAACTAATAGCTTACACTTGAATTAAGGACAGAGAAAAATGGAGGGGGAAAAAAAAACAAGGGCAGTGGGTTTCTACCCAGACAACAATGAGTTAAGGGAGGTAAGAGAAAGGCAGGTCCTTAAGAAGAGAAGACATTGAGAAGGAGACTAACCTTTATACACGATTCAAGATTCAGACAGCTCTCAGTTGCTCAAAGAGTAAACTGAATTCTACATTCAGTCTCAGCTATGAAGCCTTGTACCATGAGGGTAAAGAGCTAACACAGAGAGGGAGACAAAGCTAGCTACTGAAAAGTCCCCAAATGCCAGCTGTCATTCGGTCTCTGTATTGCATGGGAAATTATAATAAAATGTACACAATGGGAAAGTGGTAATGTGGCTTTCCAAAACCTAATAATTACTCCAAAATGAGGTAACACCCTAACATCTTACCAGGGTTCTATTTTTCATGGGTCCAAATTCTCTTTGAAAGTGTTTCAGTGAAGTTTGGTAAACAAAATATCAAAAAAGTGTGTAATTATAATTTGGCAGTAGTATAGTAGTCATGATGGAAGTTAATATTCATTGAGTGCTTACTATGTAACTAGCAGGGTTATTCTCACTTTACAAATGTAAATATTAAGGAATATGCCCAAAAGTCAGTCATTTCGGAAGGAGAGCTACTGTTTGAAGATCTCACATCAAGAAACTATGCAAAGTCATTATATTATATGCCTAAAATGTACCAATACAATTTTTAAAAGAAAGAAACTATGCAGGCAGAATTTGTATACAAATCTTTCAGATTTCATATGCTGTTCTCTGACCCATCTGTAGCCTCTGGTTTGAAACTATATTTTGAAGGCAAAAGATGTTTGTGTGCCCACAACGATTAAAAAAAAAAAAACACTAATGGAAGTTTCAAAACTCTTGCTTTGAAGCTAACGGAAATGAAGAAGAAAGGATTTTTAGATGCATAGGTATGAAAAGAGATCTAGGCTTCACTGTGAGCATGGAACAGAATTGGAAATAAAACACAGTCACTGAATTCTTTGCTAAAGACATCCTTTGGGCCACAGGATCCCAATTCCTCACAGGGAACAACTACAAACTTGTGTATGGGAAAATGTTTCACCCCAGCACTGAGCAGCGATTGGCCTCTGTCTGGAGCTGCCATGTGCTGGCATGAATCCATTTAGCATTCAATCACTCAGCCAGAATGCTTCAATGGCCAGCCACGTGATGTGAATTCTGAACACCTTAGAAACAATTTTGACCGCTGTCAGCAAACTACAATGAGAAAACAAAATCTAAGAAATGTTTTAAAACAGGAACCTCTGATGTTCTTATGAAAAAAAGGGAATCTCCTCTCAAAATATTTGTATTTCCATTAAGCCATAAACAAGCCAATGATAGAGCTAATAGCAGTTCTCTAATTCCAACACTCTGCTGCAAATAAGTACATTTATTTGTCTTGAATACCTGGAAATCTGGAACTGCTTTATATTGAAAACGTAATCAACATATCTCTCAAAAGCTCTTTACACAAACGAATTCATTCTCTGTCATCAGAAAAAGAAGCAGATTATCTACTTAGTAATCCTCACAAGGGACATGACAATCAACCACTGAGATACAAAAGAATTTGTATCTATACTTTTATGATTCAATACTTATTGGGATACTACAAATATGTTCAATAATTTGTCCGGCGGCTTTCTAACAAGAAATGTTATAATTTAGCTGTTTGGTGCAGTGTAAGAGAGGGTATAACACCATTAGAAAGTAGCCACCTTCCATCTCGTCAATTACAAGTTAGGGAAAATAAAATGAAGAATTCAAGCTCCTGCATGCCATTCCCACTTCCTGAGATGGAACCACCGCACTCCCGCTCCAAGTGCTGATTTTATCTATATTCACTGAACATGTTTTGATGGAAAACATCATCAATTAGAAATACTTGTGTAATGAGAGGTTTGTTTTTTTTTTCCTGACAAAAGTAAGTTGGGAGAACTGTTGTTTTCTCATCTTCAGAAATTAAACACGGGCTAATTAGTCTAGAGTTTCAGAAAGTGTGGATCATAAGTTTAATGTATTGTTGTGGAGTACAGTTTCTTCTTAAAGGCAAGAATCACCAAAAAGAATAACATTTAAAATGTTCATGGGGAATAAGGGAAAAGAAAAAACTATGAAAAAAATGGAAATAAAATGTTTGTAAATGGGGAGGGGAGGAGGGAGTGACGGGACAGCAGGGACAGAGGGAAAAAATGAGAATCAAGACCTGTCCTGTAAAGGTACAGGATCCCAGTAGTGAATGTAACTGTACTGTATACCTGAAATGTACCAATAAACTCAATAAAAACAAAAAAAATGATCATGAAGTTCAGTACTAACAAAAGAAATGAAAAGTAAAGCAACTATTGACACAGCATTGAATATGGAATGGTTTTCCAGTTATAATACATACTTGTATGTGTATATAAGTATGTGTGTATAAACATATATATTCCTAGACATATATATATATATATACACACACAAATATCTCTATACACAGCTACACACAATTATATATATATTAAATAATTTTTTATCTAATTATACAAAATTTTACGTATTTGGCCATTTGGAAGACTATAGTGGTGCAGTGAATAACTAGAATAGAATGAACATATAAAATGGCTCAAAAAGCAAAATTAAAGTGGTTGTACAGTTTCATAAGCACCTAAATCCCTGAACCGCCTTGCCCTTTCACTAATTGTGCAGTTTCGGTGAGAAACCAGTCAGGGGTGAAGAACGACTGACTCTTTTTCTCCTTGGTGTAGGTATGCATTAGACTAGAACCTTGATTAGATACATGACCACACATACATTAGCGTTCAGCCCATCTCAGGGTTAAAACTTGAAACCACTACTCAGTTTCAACTTCTATCTGAGAAGACCCAGTTTTTCTCACTTCTTCTGATTCATTCCTGTTTTTTTAATCCAATTGTTCCCCTTCTAATAATCAAATTAATTATTTTACTTAACCTCCCTAATTGAGAACATTACTCTCTTGTATAGTTAGTATACTTAAATATATTTTTGTTAAATAGTTCAGTTGCATATTATGAGCATATCGTGGACTACTCGGATGTATACAGTTTACTCCATTCCAATCTGCTCCCTTACTTTTGCCATATATTGACTATAGTCCTCAAGGGTTATATAACAGTAGACACACAAGCCTTCAAATTCAAAGCAAGCCTATACTGAAATCCCAATTTGGTGTCTATCACTATGTGACCTCCGGAAAATTATTTTCTCACTCTGTCTTTTAATTTCCTTAGTTTACAATTTTTTAAAAAAATAAAAAGAGGGTTGGGGATTTTGGCTCAGTGGTTCCACTGCCTGCCTTGGGAAGTGGAAGGGCCCAAGTCTGATCCCCAGTACCAAATGAAAAGAAAGAAAGAAAATAAAAAAGATGCTAAAAAAGCTCTAGTATAATAACGTTAAGTCTGTGCCCAGGTCATAGCATGTTCACAAAAAAATCAGTATTCTTACATCACCATTCTTTTGTCCCCCTCTCTCTCTCCCTCTCTCTCTCTTTCTGAGGTAGGGTCTTGCTCTGTGGTCCAGGTTAGTTTCAACCTCTGAGCAGCTCAAGTGTTCCCCGCCCGATTGCTGGAAGTAGAGGCAGACATCAGCATTTCTCACTACTACCTCACCATTCTTCAACCCAGAAAGATAAAACAATGTACTGTGTCGATGATGTCCTTATACAGCGATCCAAAAGAGAGAAGGCACTACACTTCTCAGTCAAACAGGGTTCCAAATCGAACCTTGACACTCAGCACTTTTGTGACTTCGGGAATTCTTTTGATCTCAAAATCGCATTTCACCATCCATAAAACAGAATCAACTTCCAAAATAAATTCAGAAGTTTATATGAGATCACATATGCAAAGCATATAAAAGTTGTGCATTGCATAAATGTTGGCTGTTGACATTGTTTACATACTTTTGCCCAGAAGGCTCTTTTCATTATTTCCAGGCCCAGGGCAGACATATGTGACTGTCTCTTTCCCATTCTTGTCCCTCTTCTCTTCTTCCTTACAAGAGGGGCACTGAATTTGATTGGTCATTCATCTGCTTCAAGGGAGGGCAGATCCTTTCATCAGCAAGAAGATACTGATTGGTCAAGGGAAACTATATTAACTATACTAACGTCAGTCTCTTCCACAATGTTTGGTTTAGTCATGTTTATTTCATCTGAAATTATTCCAGCCAATAAGATTTGAGGAACAACATATGGCAATTTTTTTTCCTTCAAAAGAAGACAGTGAAAAAACTATTTCTTTCTTTCCGAACTTCATATATTATTGAACAAAAATGTGATACATGGATATTTTGAAGCCAAACTTCTTCCACGAAGTAAGGGAAAACAGCCAAAATCATGAGCAGAAGCATGAAATCCAAATCTGCCTCCAGATGGCCTCTTATATACTATAATAGATTTTTTTTTATTCTTAAGCCTTTTTGAATTGTTCTATTCCTTGACTCTAAAAGCATCCTAAACTGATGCAATTTCATAATGAAAGTATTCTGTAAAGTCAACCACAAACTGATGACTTACTAAATTATTAATAATTACAGTGTTTCATAGTAAGGGAAGCCATTTAAAGGT